TGTCTTTGTTGGAGACTTTTGGTGTCTTAGTTAAGTACTGGAAACAAGGGCCCTAATAGATCACTTTCTTGCTTGCCATCAACATACATTATAAGTGAAATCACATTGTGTTGCTGCAGAAGAGAAATTTAATAAGACCTCTGCACTAGCTCATGGAGGTTGTGAGACCAAGTCTCACAGGGACTGTTGCAGGACTGAAGAAGAAAATCAGAGAACTCTCACAAGTTTTTATGTCCTTTCACTGTGAATTGATTACTTTGACGTTTTCTTTTAAAGTGAGGGAAGTAAAAAATAAATTAACATTAAATAAAGTACTCATATCCCTTCTTCAGGATTCACTTTCTAGATGGGACCTGTGGATAAACAAAGACATAATTATCAAGTGCACTAATGCTTGTTGAATGACAAGTCTCAGCCTTTATGGTTTCATCTAATTGCAAGTTTGAGACTTGGAAGCCACCATTCTAGGAAAAAACAGGGCTCGTTGCCAGTTCACATTAGGCAGCTAAAAGTTTTCAGATGGAATGTATTTGCTACTAAAAATATTTGTAGTTTGGGAAAATATGCTCCAATTTGACCTTCTTGACATTCTGCACATTCTAGTTTGTTGCTCTGGGTTCTTCAGCAGCTGTAGAGAGGGAAGTTCAGTACTGTCTCCTCGTACCCTCTTACTCCATCTATGGACTGGTCTTTCCATTGTAAAAACAGATATTTTATGAGTTATTTATATTCTTGGCCACTCTGAGCAACATGTTGTGCTTTCTCAGAAGCATTTTGACATGCTATTTTTGGTATGAGAATGAAGTACTAGGATTGAGGGAACTCACTTCCCACTTGTTGGGTTCCTTGAGGAACAAGACTGGCGTGTTCAATTAAAGAAATATTGAAGGGTGTATAATATGCAGGTGCTATTTAGCCAACAAGAGAAATTGGATCCATGTCTGACAGCCATAGGAAGCTTACAGCCTAAATCCCACAACATAGCAGTGTATGGTTAAGGGCTGAAATGGAAGATTCAGACAATAAATCCCGTAGGTCAGAGAATAGGGGAAGTTAGGTCTCCTTATGGCAGGCAGCTTCACATGACCTATTTGGAGGTTTTGGGGGAGGAACAGCAGCCTTAAAATTAGGGTGGCCCATTTGACAAAACAACCCATGTGAAATAAAATTGCTTAATGGGATCTATTTAAAACAGAATTCCCATTGCCTTAGAGAATGTGTCCCACTTAGCCTTCTCATAGCCTGCCTGTATTTTAATTATTTTGAAGGAGTACAATGGATAGTTTTTTTCTGTTTCACCAAATCAATGAAAACGAAAAAAAGACAATTTTTAAATTTTTTTCCTGATTTTTTTTTTTCATTGATTTTTATGGACTTTTCAGTTTTCTTCCATCTGGAAGAAAGCAGCCTGCAGCTCCCTCCTGGTGGGCCAGTTGAGAGAACAGGAAGCTTGGTAACGTGCCATCCTGACTGGCTGGTGGGTTTACTCTGCTGATGTGGCTCCTCTTACCCATTCACCTGTCATTTATTAGTGCATGTTGTGACTCAGGATCTGTGCTGATTCTAGGCATGTGAAAATGTGCCTTCAGGTAACAACTTTTGTCCTTCTGGGAGCACAAGTCAAGCAGACAAACATTTACATTATGCTGCTTTTTTTGGGGGGGGGTGGCTTACTGGTACAGGGATTGAACCCCGTACCTTGGTATTTTCAGCTCTACAATGCATTTTGGCACGAGTTAAAATCGAGTTAAACACTAGTTGCTTTAGGAACATATAGGAGAGCACTGTAACTTAGCCTAAAGGGTGTTGGGAGCTCCAGGGAAAACTTTCTGGAGGAACTACTCTTTGACCCTTGAAATGTAACTAGTAGTTGGCAGGTAAAGGAGAGGAAGGTTTTCTTTGTAAGGGAAACCGTGTGAGAGGTGACGAAGAGCATAGTGAGTTTGGAGAACTTAACCTGGGAGAAGAAAAATGAAGAAAGATTGATCATTTTGCTTTTAAAATCACTGAGCGATAGTTACATCATGTGCATGCACATGCACCAGGTCTAAAAAATACATACTTCTTTTCACTCCTTCAGCAGCCTTGTGTGAGGTACAGATATATTTGTGGTTTATAATCTAGAAAGTTAAGTTTACCTTTCCAAATTTCCATTGATAAGTGACCAGGACCTAGTGAAGCTGTATTAGCTCATACCAAAGTATCAACTCCTGTTCCTTAGAGTTGTAACTTTTTTATATTTGTCAAGTTCAAAGGCATTGTATATATCTATGACTATGTTTTAGCAGGCATATTCTTTATCTGTTGGTTTGATTGATGGCCAGTCTTAGTTATTATATTGCTAACACTTCAATAGGTTATTGGATGGATTTGCAAAAAGACATGATTTGTCTTTTGTACCTCAAACTCTAATTGGATTTTAACTCATTTGAAATGCTTGCAGCTCCTCATGGGAGTGGTAGCCATTAGCTACATGAGATGTTATTTGATGGAAAATTTGCAATAGTACTTTCCATTTTTAAAAGCTTCTTGTGTTTCAGAGCTCTTCATATGCATTGTCTGATTTTTGTTTTGATCTTCACAACAACCCTTTGAGATAGATAGTTAGGGGGCATTTCACTCTTTGGAATAGGTAGTTAGGGAGGCACCCGACTTTGTGGGTACTGTTTGCAGGGACAGAGTTATCCATGGTCCTATAGCCTGTCTGTGGCAGAACTTAAACCTGAACTCAGTCCAACTCAAACCCCACCCTTCTCCCACTATGCCTTGCTGTTCTCCCATTTAGTTTGTTCATCACTGATAAACCCTGAATTTTCTCAGCTAAGTTACCTGTCTAATAGATCATGGTAATGCGTGTATTTTATCAGCATTCTGCAGTGTTTATTCATTCAGCAAACATTTAAGTGTCAACCATGCGCCAGGTACTGTGTCATTCAAACTATAACAAAAGTTTCTATAGAGTCATGAATTTAAATACATAAAGAAAATTGAAATATAAAGGTGTTTATTGACATGCAAAAAACGGACAGAAAGTATTGCTGTGCTTCAGTCATGTAACGCTGTGTGCTTGTGATGGGTTTAACTGTAGTCTGCCGGGACTCTTCCTCCCTAACTTCCCCCAGTGCCTGTCCCTGTGCTGAAGCTGCTGGTCCCTGTGCAGCTGGGAATGACCCAGGCAGAGCTCTGTTCTCTCCCTTCAGTTGTAACACTCATATCAAATCTCAGGGTTTTGAGTCTTTCTTTCCCTTTAGACAAAGAACCTCAAAGACCTTATCCTGCACCTTGCACAGAGCAGAAAGTTAGCAAATACTTGCTGAATGATCAGCCTTAGAGCAAGTGCTCTGTTAGAAATAGGTTATAGTAAGTACTTAGGACTACTGATGTTTGTATTGTGCATTATACACACCTAGCAAATGCTCTCACAGCTTGATCTCCTTGAATGCTCTCAGCAACCTGAAGTGAGCATTCTCATTGAAGGGGTGGGGTGGAGAGTGATTCACCCAAGCAGGCCTCTTAGAAACCCCTGTGTTCCTTTCCCAGATGGGTCCCTGGGTGTCAGCCTGCGCCTCTCACCAGGCTCGCCTAGGCCTGGTACAACTGTTCCTAGCAGTCTTGGCCCCGGGTGAGCGTCTTGCCTGTCTTCCGAGGCTGCTGCAAAATTCTTACATAGTGTTCGAGTTTCAAGTTGTTGGTGTGCTCAGCCATGATCAATTAAATGGAGCAAGAAGGAAACCAAAATCATATTTTGGGAGGGGGAGGGGGTGTTTTGACTAAATGCTTTTCTCTGAAGTGGTAATATGATCATTGAACATCCTCTTTCGGTTGGGGGGAGGGTCCTTAACATCTGTAGTGATGGTTTGCTGACTCAGGACAGTTATGCAATGAGTTTTGTCTGTCTGTTCTTGATTCAGAAGGTGACTGTGTGAGTTGGATTTTGTGAGAAACAGCATGCTCTAGCCTCCAGCCAAGGAGGAATGTCTTTTTAAACAGTTGAGCAAATTCCCAGATTAGAAAGAGTCTGGTGCAGCTGATGTCACTTTTTCCTGAGTAATTCTGGGTGGTTATTTACTGCACTGTATCTACCAAGAGGCCAGAAACTTTGAATGAGCTTCATTATTAGAACTCTAGAGTTGCAGGCATGTAGGAAAGAGCTGTTTGCCGAAGTTAGGACGAAGGTTTCAAAAAGCTGCTGCCCTCTGAGCCCTAAGGAATCTGTGTGGAATGGGGAGCTAGCAAAGTCTCACTCTGGCTGCGTTCTGAGGAGTTGATACGATGGCAGACAGCCAAGGCTAAGAAGCCGCCTAGCAGTCACTGTGGCTGCGGTGGCGGAGCCACAGTGTTATGTGGGGCTTCAGATAGCTTCTGAGTAGTCAAGCAGCGGTAAGTAGTGGTGTTACTAACTCCGGGCTTTCAGGGTAAAGCAAACAGTATTTTTGGAAGCACTTGTAAATACTGTTGCATTTTTCCTTATTTTCCTGATCAGATAAAGTACTGCTTCAGGTGAAAGTCAGTAGGAAGATTGTATTGAGCAGTTCAGGGAGATTATTGGCCAAATTACTAATTGGTAATGTAATATACCAGTGTGGTCATATGTAGGAGTCTGGGTTCATATGAAGAGTCTGTCTTCAGACATGTATATGCTTGATAAAGTGCTATGGGGATTCCTCAGGGTAATTCTGTTCTGCTCAAAATAAACTTTGGCATACGAACATTTCATCTTAGCCTGCCCTTCATTTTCCCAACTTCTCTTTTTTCTTACCAGCTGTCTTTTTCTTACCTATGGCTGTGTTTTAAATGGGCTTGCCTGTTCAGAGCAAGGCCTTTCTAGAATAATTTCTTGAAGAGTTAGAAACTTGACCCTTTCTTCCCTCTGTCTAGGATCCTCGATTATTATCATCTACTGTCGGCCAACTGGTGTTGCTTAGATAAGTTGGGGTAGGGTCTGGTGTTTGTGGGTTCTGATTGTCAGCTCCCCTTAAAACCATGTGTTGTCTCTCTAGCACAATCCTGGAGGAAGAGAAGGCTCAGCAAGAAGAACGGATGAGGATGGAGTCCAGAAGACAGGCCACAGTGTCATGGGATTCTGGAGGGTCTGACGAAGCACCACCCAAGGTAGCCAAGGTCTCCACCCCAGCTTTGGAGCTACTCTTAACTAACTTTTGAGTTTTATGATATAAGCAGCTGTTTTCTGTGAGGAAAATCAAATATCAGGTTATCCTAAGAGTACTAGTTACAGCACTGACTAGTTGTTTTTCATTTGCTCTTCTTCTGTACGTTACCCTCATGTACACCCGTTTTCCTAATTTGCATTTCAAGTAGAGGCTATTTGAAGTCATGGGCAGTTGGATTAGAAGTGATTTTAAAATCCTCTTCCTTTTCTTTTTCACCTCCCCTCCTCCACATCGTGAAACTTTAAATGGGCTGCCTGACTTAGGGGAGGCTTTTCCTTTGTTGGTTGACAGAGATCTCCATAATGATCAAGTCTGGGTTAAAACATCAAACTAGGCCATGGATGCATTACATTTTTGCTTTATTTAAAAATAAGTCCATTTGGGCCGGCCCGGTGGCGCACTGCTACAGTGTGCCGCTTGGGAGCACGGTGGCGCTCCCACTGAGGGTTCGGATCCCACATACAGACCGGTTCCCGCTCACTGGCTGAGCGAGGTGTGGGAGCAACGCCGAGGGTTGCAATCCCGTTGCCGGTCCCGGTCTGGTGCGGGCGCGACACTGAGGGTTGCGATCCGTTGCTGGACACGAAAAAAGACAAAAAGGAAAAAAAAAAAGTCCATTTGCACCTGACAATGCTTCTTTTGTTTCTGAGAACTTTGTGTACATTTTCTGACTTTTTCTTGAAACCAATGGCTAGATTGTGTGAGAGAGAGTACATCCTATCTGCTTTCGATTCCTTTGTGAGATCTGCTAGCAGCATCCTGCCCATTCACGTTCCAGGTCCTTTACTGGATTTCCTCTCTTATGTCCGAGAAGATGGCCTGGGCCTTTTACAAAAGCTGGGCTATGTTGTATCTGGGGGTTTTGGACAGAGTTGGCCCTAAAACGCTTTCCTTAGATTAAGAAGTCTTTACATACCTTTTGCTTTTGACAGGATGCTATTTTCACACACTGGCTTACTTGCCATGAATAATCCAATTCAGACCTTTTTCTGGAAAGTAAGTAGTTTATATGCTTTTTTTTTGCAGTTTACTTACCTATTTGGTATTTGTTAGCTAAGAGTGTATTAAGAAACTTTGACAATTATTTACTTAATCTTTTAAAAATATGTTCAGAAATCTGTTAACAATGGACTATTTGAATGTTGTCCTAACTTTTTTATCATGATGATGTCTGAAAACTTTTATTTTCTCGGTCATCATTTTAAACTGTGTAGCAGTAAACATATCACACACTGAAAGTGAATATAGGTGATTAACACAATTCTGAAGTTTAGAGGCGAAGGGTGCCTCGTCCAGACCCCTCGACAGGGAGAAAAAAGAAGGCCCAGAGAAGGAAAACCACATTATCTGGTGTATTTACTTTGAGCTAGGCAGTGAGAAAACCAGAACATTTCTCTGTCATTCCTAGTTTAGCAACAACAACAAAAAGTCCTTAGTTACCCACAGAATAAAATATGAACCCCTCATCCCAGTATGTAAGGCACTTCATGTTCTATTTATAAGTTTGACTGTTTTTAATTCAGTAACAACTGCACAATAGTCCAGTATTGGGAGGCAGGAGAATTCCTTGTTAATTTCTCAGGCCTCCAAGTCAAGTGGATCTGTTCATATCAGGCTCTGCTATTCACAGTCTGATAACTGAGCAAGGTACCTACCTATTCCAAACCTCACTGTCCTCATTTATAGAATGATAGTATTGATGTTCCCTACCTGTGGGGGATGATGTGAGCTAACTCAGAGTGAAAAATAGAGTAAGTATCTGGTGTTAAGCACCAAATAATGCGGCACTGCCCTGAGACTCATGGAATTAAAGAAACTTTATATCTGAATGTTTTTCTATTTCCCAATCTGTTGGACTTTTTAATAATTTTAATTTGACTAATTTTTTATATTAGGTTCACGGGGCAGATGTTGTTAGGCTTTTTGTTTGTTTGTTTCAGAGTACAAAGACCAGTTCTATTTAAAATTTTAAATATCCTCATCTTTCTTTCCTTTTTGATGTATTTTCAAAATGCATATTTTGATGCTCTTTTCTATAATCAGAGATTGTTTTTTCCTACATCAGGGTTTATTTGTTTAAAATAGAGGTCAGCCTGCTGCCCATTTTTGTTAACTAAAGTTTCATTGGAACACACCCAGACCCATCCGTGGCCGGTTTCGCCCCACACAGGCAAAGTTGAGTACTCCGGCAATGGATCGCAACCCTCAGTGTCGCGCCCGTACCGGACCGGGACTGGCAACGGGATTGCAACCCTCGGTGCTACGCCCACACCTCGCTCAGCCAGTGAGCGGGAAGCGGTCTGTATGTGGGATCCGAACCCTCGGCGGGAGCGCCACCGTGCTCTCAAGCGGCGCACTGTAGCAGTGCACCACCGGGCCGGCCCCAAAGTTGAGTACTTTCAGCAGAGACAGTATGGCCCATAAAGCTTCAAACATTTACTATTAGACCTTTCAAGAAAAAGTTTGGCAACCCCTTGTTTAAAAGTTCTAATGGCTAGAAAATCTTCTAAAGTAGTATAGATACATAGCTGCTTGACAATTATAAAAAACACACTGTTTAATTCCCATGCCAGTCAGAATCAAGTCTTGCATGCAGTGTTTACCTTCTCAGTGGTCATGTTTAGAATCGAATTCTGCTTTTATGGGCACAGTATTTGGCATGTCTGAAATGAGTCTGTGATTTCCAAGATGGTAGGCCAGAATTTCCTCTTGCAATTTCCTCTGGCCTATGAAGTAGGAATTCTGTAGATACTTGTGAGTTTTTATAATTCTGCCATTGTTATCTTAGGATGACTAAATTCCACTTTAGATTTCTTAAATTCAAGTAGGATCTCAGGCTTTTGTAGATAAAGTCTGTATACTAGTAAAGAACATTTTTTTTTCTTTTGTCTTTTTTTTTTTGTGACCGGTAAGGGGATCGCAACCCTTGGCTTGGTGTCGCCCGCACCGCGCTCAGCCAGTGAGCGCACCGGCCATCCTTATATAGGATCCGAACCTGCGGCGGGAGCGCCACTGCGCTCCCAAGCGCTGCGCTCTCCCGAGTGCGCCACGGGGCTGGCCCGTAAAGAACATTTTTAATGCAGCTTAATTAATTTTAAGAGGAAGTATTTTTCAGCCATTCAAGATTCAAAATTAAAAGCTTAATTTTGGGGCCGGCCCGGTGGCGCACTGGAGAGGGTTCGGATCCCATGTGGAGACCAGTTACCGCTCACTGGCTGAGCGCGGTGCGGGCGCGACACTGTGGGTTGCGATCCCGTTACCAGTCAGTAAAAAAAGACAAAAAGGAAAAAAAAAAGCTTAATTTTGTTTAGTTAATGGCAAGAGCATTGTAACCACAAAGCCAATTATTAAAAATATGTACAGATCTCGTCATTGTACTTAATACCAATTTTTTTTTTTTTTTTTTTTCTCCCTTTTTGTCTTTCTTACTGGCCGGCAACAGGCTCGCAACCCTCGGTGTTGCGCCCGCGCCACGCTCAGCCAGTGAGCGGGAACCGGTCACCACATGGGATCCGAACCCTCGGCGGGAGCGCCGCCGCGCTCTCAAGTGGCGCACTCTCCAGTGCGCCACCGGGCCGGCCCCTTAATACCAATTTTTTCATCCAGTAATAATCTTCAGAGAAGTTTGCCTGTGATGAGCTCAGCATAAGAGTGTCCCACTCAGTGCTCATTTTCAGCTGTGCGTGTTGCCATACAGATTCCCATTCAATTAATGGAGAGCCTCAGAATAAAAATATCTTAAAACAGCCGCTTTCAAAGTTTAGTCCTTGGGGCCGGCCCGGTGGCGCACTGCTACAGTGCGCCACTTGGGAGCGCAGCGGCGCTCCCACCGAGGGGTCGGATCCCACATACAGACTGGCCGCTCACTGGCTGAGCGAGGTGCGGGTGCAGCACCGAGGGTTGCGATCCGTTGCCGGTCACGAGAAAAGACAAAAGGGAAAAAAAAAAAAGTTTAGTCCTTAGACTGTGGGGATCCCCAAGACCATTTCAGAGGTCCATGGATCAGAACTCATCTCATAATAATGTTTAGATGTTGCTGCCTTTTCCACTTTGTTGACGTTTGCACTGATAGGACTATATTCTTCACTTCTTTGCACACACAATAAGAAAACAATGCCGGTTCACATAAGAATGACCTTGATGAAGTGTACGTACATTCCGCTTCCAAAATTTAAGCCAGAGGACATAACTATACAACTGTCAGCTCTGTTTATTGCCCTAATTCTTGGCTGTGCATCCTTCCATACTTGGACAGCAAGAGCACTTGACACAGGAAACTCTTCCCATGCAACCATTGTTAATGTTTACATAGTAACACATACCTTTAAAACAACTCTTGCCACTTAAATGTCAGAGTACAGAGGTAGTCAAACTTTTTTTAAGAAACCTCTTTTAGGGCCGGCCCGGTGGCGCACTGGATAGTGTGCCGCTTGGGAAGCGCGGCGGCGCTCCCGTCCGAGGGTTCGGATCCCACATACAGACCGGCTCCCGCTCACTGGCTGAGCGAGGCACGGGAGCAACACCGAGGCTTGCGATCCCGTTGCCGGTCCCCAGTCCGGTACGGGGGCAACACTGAGGGTTGCGATCCGTTGCTGGACATGGAAAAAAGACAAAAAGACAAAAAAAAAAAAAAAGAAACCTCTTTTAAATCAATGCAACTACTTTTTCAAAATAAACCCTTAGAAATATAAATCCAAAGGGTAGTTTAGGGAACACACTTTGGAAGATGCTGCCTTAGCACAGAGTAGAGAAAAAGCCTAGAATGCCCCCTTTTTACCCCTTTTCTGTTTTGGGGGACTTTGGGGAAATTCATGCTCATATTTAGTAAAGTTTGAACTAGACTACATCTGAGACACTGTTTGGAATATGACAGGAATAAGGTATAAAGAAACATTTTCCACCCTCAGGGATTTAATGGCTCCTAACAGCAGGGCTAGAGCAAGTACCTTAGAGAACCTGCAGTCCAAGTCAGACTGTGAGGAAGGGCTACAGAGGAGCGCAGAGGACTTAAGTTTATGTTTGGTGAAATCAGGAGCCCCTCCATGAAAGAAATAACATTTGAAAGACTCAAAGGATAGGAAGTGTTCTACATATTGAGGGGAGGAGACGTTCTAGGCGGAGGGGAGAGTTTATGCAAAGCTACAGGGGAAATGAGACTGATTTTAAAGACCAAACATACTCTGATCCTAACTAGAGCAAAGCATGTTTTCATCCAGCACCTGTGGGAAAGAGGCACAGGCACTAAGGAGTTTTCTTTACTCCCCCTCGCTTGCTGGGACTTAAATCCATTTCCTTTTCTTCTGGCCTTAATTCAGCTGGAAAATAATGGTTTTCCATTTTGTTAAATCCCTCAAGTTTTAGAAAATTTTCTTATCTTCTTTCAACCTTTCATTTCAGACTAAATCATTCTTTTTTTTTTTTTTTTTTTTTTGCCCTTTTTGTCTTTTTTCGTGACCGGTAACGGGATCGCAACCCTCGGTGTTGTGCCCACACCGTGCTCAACCAGTGAGTGGACTGGTCTCTATATGGGATCCGAACCCTCAGCGGGAGCGCCGCCGCGCTCCCACGCGCCACACTCTACCGAGTGCGCCACCGGACCGGCCCTAAATCATTCTTTTGATATGAACTTTTAATTAATTTATCTCAAAAATAAAATGAGAATTTTAGAGCTGGAAGTGAGTTTAGAGATCTTCTAGCTCAACCCACCTTTTATAGATGAAGAAATAAAGGGCAGTCAGTTTAGTCACTTACCCACAACCACACAACCAGGAAGCAGCAGAGCCGAACAAGCGTCCACCTCCCAGCTTGCTAGATAGTGTTGAGGTCCCTCAGGCTCAGAATATTTAGCATGCTTTTTTGTTGTAGAGATAGTTTAATAGCTTTATTGAGGTACAGTTCACATACGATACAATTGACCTATTTAAAGTGTACAGTTCAATGTTTTTTAGTATATATTCAGAGTTGTGCAGTCATCACCACAATCAATTTTAGAACATTTTTATCACCCCAAAATGAAACCTGTACCCATCAACAATTCTTCCCTATATCCCCCTTCTCCCAGTCCCTGGCATCCACTCATCTACATGCTGTTTCTGAGGATTTTCCTGCTCTGGACATTTCATAAATGGAATCATATAAAATGTTGTTCTTTGTGACAGGCTTCTTACACTTAACATGTTTTCAAAGATCATTTATGTTATAGCTTGTGCCGGTATGTCATTCCTTTTAATTACCAAATGATACTCCTTTTATGGGTAAACTGCATTTTGTTTATGCATTCATCAGTTGATGGAAACTAGGATCATTCTCACTTTTAGCTATCATGAATAACAATGCTGTTAAGAATGTTCATATTACATGTTTTTGTGTGGACATATATTTTCATTTCTCTGGGGTATGTACCTGAAAGTGGAATTGCTGGATCACATGGTAATTCTTTATAATTTTCTGAGGAATCAGCATACTGTCTACCACAGCGGCTACACCATTTTAAATTCCCACCAGCAATGTACAAGGGTTCAAATTTCTCCACATCCTTGTCAACACTTTTTATTTTCTGTCTTTTTATTATAACCATCTTAGCGGTTGTGAAGCGATAGCTCATTGTGGTTTGATTTGCATGTACCTGATGTCTAGTGGTGTTGAGCATCTCTCCCCATATGCTTTCTGGCTATTTATGTATCTTCTTTGGGTCTACTCAAGTCTTTTGCCCACTTTTTAATTGGGTTGTTTGTTATTTTATTATTGACTTGTAAGAATTCTTTATATATTCCTTAGTATATGAATTTCTTATCAGATAAATGGTTTGCAGGTGTTTTCTTCCATTCTTTGGATTTTTTTCACTTTCTTGATGGTATCATTACAACATTAAAAGCGACAGTTTTTAATATGATGAAGTCCAGTTTATCTTTTTTTTTTTTTTTCCTTTTGTCGATTGTGCTTTTGGTGTCGTGGCTAAAAAAACCCTTGCCTAAGCCAAGGTCACAAAGATTAACTCTTGTTTTCTTCTAAGAATTTTACAGTTTTATCTCTTACATTTAGTGATGTTTGTGTGTGTCATGAGGAAGGGGTCAAACTTCATTTTTTCACGTGTAGATAACCAGTTATCACAGCATCATTTGTCATAAAAACTACTCTTTCCCCCATTGGAATGTCCTAACACCCTCTACTAGAGAAATATCTTTTTCTGTTTTTTTCATAAAGCATAGATTTACCAAAATCATAAGACCCATTCGTGTGATGCTCTGTCATTTGTTCACAGCCCAGCAGACCTGGCTATCCCAGTCCGAGGTCCAGCGAAGGATTTTATCCCAGCCCTCAGCACGTGGTACAGACCAATCATTACCAGGTATACCAGCCATTACAGACATCAAACGTGTTATGTGATTCTTCAGCATTTTGAGGGGTAGGCAAGTACACTGTATATTTGTTTTTTTTATTTTTGTACTTATGAGTATGATTTGGCAAGCAGAGAGCTAATAAGCAAGTGGTCACCCCAGTCCTTGTCTGACTCAATGTTGTCTTGACACCTCTTGCAGAGGGCATTTGTCATTCACTCAGTCTTAAGGTAGGTGAGACAAGTGCCACATCTCCAGCAGTTCTTAGGCCCGTTCTCTTCTGCCTGCTCTCATAAACAGCAAGGTGAATCCAGTGGGCACACACTAGGCAGAGGTAATATGGAACCGGGCAGTTTTTCTGGAAGACAAATGAGATGCCATATGGACAAGTGTAGAAGGAGTGTTAGACTTATAGGCAAATATCCTGTACAAATTAGAAATAATTACCTTTGAAAGTAAAGCACCTGAAACAAAGTCAATAATTTTTTTTGTGTTTTTTTTTTTTTTTAAGGAATGGCTATTAACTTTTACTGAGATATAACTAACATACAGTGAAATGATTACATCAGTATATCCTATACCCACATCGTGATACAGAACATTTCTGTACCCCCAGGAAGTTCCCTCTTACCCCCTTGCCAGTTAATCGCCTACTGCCCCAGAGCAACCACTGTTCTGATTTCTGTTACCAAAGATTTGTTTTGCCTGTTCTAGAATTTTATATAAATGAAATTACATACAGTGTGCTTTTCTGGGTTCAGCTTCCTTTACTCATAGTAATGTCGAAGTCCCATCAAGGGGTCAGTACTTTACTTTTCTGCCTCCTTCACCGGCTTATTGAGAGCATGGCTTAAATTAAGCCCTCCTGGGTCAACATGGGTAAAAATTCTTAACTGTTGTACTAGGATACCACGAGATAAGGTAGGCCCTGTTTCTTATTAGAGAAGACCATATGTCCGTGGTAGTTTAGAACAGTGAAACTGAATAGATTTCAGGCTCTTCACCTGCTGTCTCCAGATTCCAATATGCTAATTCTGAAGTGGAGCTCAAGAGTATTACAGTGCTAACAAGCAGCCTCAGGCAGTTCTGGGGGCATGTGACTCAGATATGTTTTGGGAGACACTGTTCTGAGATACCCACTTGCCTGGAGGAAGGGGAGTGAATCATTTGAGTTCGCCAAGGCATCTGTTCGTTCAGCAAGGTGACACGGAATGTTCATCCACTCTGCCCAGCACTCTTCTAGGCACTGGAAGTGCAAACATGAATAAGGAACTACCTTTCCTTACGGGAGGAGCTCACTAGATTACCAGTTCCATATGTAAAGGGGCTAGAACCCTAAAAGTAAAGCACTCACCCCCTCGACAGAACTTTGACTCTCACAGACATATGAGTAAAGGAAGCTGGAGGCGTGTAGATTGCCTGTGGAAAGAAAACCCACACCTGTGATTGCTGAGAGACTCTGAACTGTAGCAAACAGCAGAAAGGCCCTGGGGGACAGGCCCAGGGTCTATGCCTGGTGGGTAGGGGAAGTCAAATCTCAGGTGGCCCTGAGCAGGCAGGAATTAAATACCAGCATTGTTTTGAGATAGCACACGGCATGGCAGCACCTACTTGATGAGACAGGCTGTTAGCAGAGAGAGTGTTCTCTGTGTCCAGGCAGGACATGTCTAATGTTATTTCATGTTCCTTTTTAGCCTAAACTGCCCACTGATCCTTTCACTTTGTTCATGTTATTTAGAAAACTGCCTTAGATCATTTGAAACCTTCTTGTGAAAATTCCTAAAAGTTCTCTGGTAGTAATATATCCCATTTCACCAAAAATCGTAGTGATATAGCATTTTGTATTTAGTAGAGTTTTTTATTGTTGAGATTTTTTCATTCAAATCAACTGTGAGTACTATCCAACTATCTTACTTGAACATTTATTGGTTACATATTGTCCATATTTAATTTTGGTATAAGTTAATGCCTAGAGACCTAATAAATGCATAAAACCTTTGCTGAAGGGTACATTGATATTTGGAAATATGGATTTGGCTGTGCTTTAACTCATTAAAAAAATCAACTGGGCCGAGCCCGTGGCCCACTTGGGAGAGTGCGGCGCTGGGAGCACAGCAGCGCTCCCGCCGCGGGTTCGGATCCTATATAGAGATGACTAGTGCGCTCACAGCGCTCACTGGCTGAGCGCGGTGCGGCCGGTCTCAAAAAGGACAAAAAAGAAAAAAAAAAAATCAACTGACAAGCCCAGTCATACAGAGGTAGCCTAATGAGCTATGGAAACAAATACTGGTTCTGTTCTCTCTCTTTCTCTTGACTGAGAGGGAACCATATAAATAAACTCCTCTTATTTTCCTTTGGCCTTGAAATTTTTCTCCTTGTCCAACTGAATGTTTTCTCTCTGCCTCAGTCACCATCGGTAGAATTTGAAGGCCTGACTCCTCCCACCATCAGTTCCTAGTTCATTAGAGGACAAACATTAGGGGTTGGTTGGTTGGTTTTTTTGGACTCCTCCCACCATCAGTTCCTAGTTCATTAGAGGACAAACATTAGGGGTTGGTTGGTTGGGTTTTTTGTTTTTGTTTTTGTTTTAATTACATTATGGTTATTTTTTGTTTTTTGTTCTTGTTGGAGGGTGGGATAGGCAGGAAAGGGGAGATCTAGAGCAGAGCATGGCTCAGCCATTTTTGTGGCTTCCCATTGCTTTTGCATCCAGGGATGGTCTGCTCTCAACATTTCGGTAAGTGTAACATTCTAAAGTAAATAATTTCCTATTTTCTAGTGTATATTTGCATTAGTTGTCTAATGCAGCCACAACAAGTTACCTTTCTTGAACCTTTAGTTAAAAATCCATTTCGGCTTCTATAGGCCACCTGCTTTCCTTGGCTCGCAGTTCCCGATTCCATGTTCAAAGCCAGCAGTGTTACATCTCTCTGACCATTCTTCAGTAGTCATATTTCCCTCCCTCTCCTCTTCTTCTTCACTCTTGCACTTTTAAGGACCCTTATAATTACATTATTCCCATTTAGATAATCCAGGATGATCTCCCCATCTTAATAATCATATCCTCAAAGTGTCTTTTGCCATATAAAGGAACATATTCACATATTCAGAAAGGATTAAGACATTTAGAACGTGGGCATCTGGGGGGAGGGAGGACATTACTCTGCCTACCACAATATTCTCTGCAATTTTACTTCCTTTTATGTGTAAATCAGAACTGTGCTGAAATTATGTTGTGGCAAGATATTACCTTGTCTCCTAACTCATTCACAGGTTTCTGGTTACCCTGGTTCACATGGAATCACAGCTATGGGTGGCAGCATCTACCCAGGTCAGGCATCACTTTTGGACCAAACAGATTCGTGGAATCATAGACCTCAGGAGATATCAATGTGGCAGCCCAATGTGGAGGTAAATTAGGTATTCTTGGGCTTCAGTTTGTTATGGCTTCAGTTCGTTATGGCTTAAGATACCTTTTATTTCTAAATCCTAAGATTTCTTGATTTTGATGACTTAATTCAAAGTTCCAGATATCCAGAATGTTTTCTGGTTTTGTGAATATTTTTTAGTAAAAGAAATACCCACCGAGAAATGCTACAATCATTAGTTCATTCATTTGAAAGGCAGAGCCCTAAATTGAATGTAATTAGCATACATATGAGGCCAAGGGAGAAGCAGGAAGACAGAGCCTTCAGTTCTGTGGACCGTGTTAATTTTTACCAGATTTTCCTGGTAAAACCAAGAGCCACTCCTATCGTATTAAAAATTATTTATTTGGGGCCGGCCCGGTGGCACACTGGGAGAGTGCGCCGCTTGGGAGCGCGGCGGCGCTCCTGCCGAGGGTTCAGATCCCATGTGGAGACCGATTCCCGCTCACTGGCTGAGCGCGGTGTGGGCGCAACACCGAGGGTAGCGATCCCGTTACCGGTCAGTAAAAAAGACAAAAAGGGAAAAAAAAAAAATTATTTATTTGAATCAAAGAGCATCTATAGTTGTCTGCTATTCGTGTTCTTTTCCTTGGAATAAACATGTTTAATAACTTTAGTATTCCATAATTTATACGTATCATATTTAAACCTTCTATTACTTTACTTCCAGATTATCTCTACTTTTTTTTTTACTAGAAGTGATAATTCCTTGCATGTATTTTGTATTATTTCTTTAGAATAGACCCCTACAAGTGAATCTATGAGCTGAAATATTGCAGACTTTTTAAAGATGGTTGACACACATTAAATTGCAACCTCCGGAAAAGTCACTCCCACAAGCAGAGTATGAAAGACCCTATTTTCACCACCCTCACTGTTTTACTTAACTTTTCTGAAAGACACACAAAACAAAATAAGAGCATATAAACAGACTTAAGAGACTGGACTTGCTGTTTTCAACTCTTCTTCCAGGACTCTGCAGCATTGGACCTGCGAGGGATTGGGCAGGTATTGCCGACCCACCTGATGGAAGAGCGGCTGATCCGACAGCAACAGGAAATGGAAGAAGATCAGCGCTGGCTGGAGAAAGAGGAGAGATTTCTGGTAATTGTGTTTCAGAAAGGTTCCTTACACTGTTTTAAGCCCTGTCAGAGACTACTATATTGTAAATGGTTGCAAAATTTCATCTTTTTTAAGCCAGAGAGTTAATTTTACATCTGGTCCCTAAAACTTGCAATAGTAAGTTATTTGCTTTTTTTTTATTTTTTAGGGATAAATTTCTAAGATTTTAGTAATGGCATTAAAGGCTCAGAGGTATGAGCATTTCTGCAGTTTTTGCATTACCACATTATTTACACAGAAGCAACTCCCACTTAAGTGTCAGCTTGCATGTAAAACATAGCATCTTGCTACTACAGGATGTGTAACACAACAGCTAAGAGTCCTGGGATTTGCCTTCCTGGGATTCCTCTTCAGTGTGGTCTCACAGATGCAAACCTCCTCCCGGATATGTCTCAACTTATGGATGAGAAATGCCTTTCTTCAGGCAGCTCTTGTTGACAGCCTCCTTTAGAAGTCCATTGAGGACAGAGAGGAAGTGGTGCGACAGAGCAATCTCTGTGTGCTACTTGACACAAAGGTCCTATTGGACTCATGGCCCCTGCTGCCAAGCACTTCTATGTCCTCAGCCTCAGAACTAGGGTCTGTGATAACCCACTCCCCACTCTCCTTAAGCCCTGAATAGCTATTTCAGTCTTCCTGAAGTAGCCTCGAAAGAAATGTGGCTGAAAGGAGCCAGGATTCCTACTGTTTCCACAGAATCTTGAGTCAGTAACTTTACCAGGTGAGTCCAAATTTGGTCCCTCATGCTTTGATACAATAAATATTTACTGACACCAACCTTGTGTGAAGGTCTGTTGAGGGACTAGATACCAATGAGGGTAGGATATAACCCCTGTTCTTAAATTGCTTAAAGACTTATAGGCACAGAAGCATTTAAATCAACAAGTAATTGTATTATAAGACTGGTTTCAAACTGTATTCTGCAGAAGTTAACATGTGGTTTTGATTTCATTCTTTGTATATGGCTTTTATTTCTTAACTCTAATTTAAAATTAAGCAAAGCAACTGACACACTTAAGTTTTAATCTGTTGGAGAGGGCTAGTACATTAAGTTGCACTAGCTACAGGAGGCGTTGGAGCTGACCTCAGCAAGCCTGTCGTCTCAGCACACATACAGGAACCTGGAAATGGATCACGCTAGGAAGGAGCTCTTGCTCGCCTTTTTTTTTTTTTTTTTTTTTAACCGAGGCCTCAAACATCACACATACACAGTCAGGTCACTACCAGGCAGGACTAATGTGCCCTTGCTTAGCACACACCCTTTTCCTAGTTGAACAGTGAGGAAGGAGCATGATGATAAGCAAGAGTGGCAGTATTGCTGACATGTACACGGTGTTTACTACGTGCCAATCACCATCCTACGTAGTTTTCATACATAAAGTCGTTCGATCTTCACAACTGCTTGTGAGGAAGGAACAAGCCAAGAAGAGCCTTTGTCCGAAACCCTTGAGAGCCTGTGTTTCAGATTTCAGTGTTTTTAACTTTAGAAAGTTAATGTAGTATGATGTACACCATATATCGTGTAATACTCCAAAAGTATCCCAGAGTTAAAACCGCTAATATTTCTACAGCAAAATATAAATATTCACATTGCCATGTAAATAAAGACAATAAAATGACTCACATCAGGTTTTACTACCAAATTAGTTTGCTTCAAACTTAAATCTAATTTACCATTTTCAGTGCTTTCTAGATTTTGGAAATGAGGATAAACGAATGTGGACTTGTCCCCTTGTTATCCTCATTTTACAGGTAAGGAAATAGAGACCCAGAGATTAAGTAAATACCGCAAAATCACACACCTAGTAAGTGGCAGATCCAGAATTCAAAACCAAGCAACCAGCTCCAGGATCTGTGATTCTAACCAATGTGCTATGATATCTCTTCAGCACATGCCAGATAATGTCATGCCTTAGGTAGTTTTAACACTTAGTAAACCTATCAGGTTTTCTTCTTTACATATATTTATACTAAGATTGTATGAAACATTGATAGATAATTGTTGGTGATTCACATTTGGAGCATAAGTTTCATCCTATGCTTTCAGAATTCTAAATTAGTTCAGTTAAAGCAAATCTTGAGATTGTAAAGCAAGCTTCCAAAAATAGTTATTATTTACTACTACTAATCATAGCGAATCAATATGGATATTGAGTCTGTTCTAAGAATACATCTGCTGTTCCCTAACCCTACATTTTAAGCGTTTTTGTTCAGACAGCCTCTTTTCCCAGACACCATTGGTTTGTATTTTTAAAAGTAAATGTTATAAATTCTCCAAACTATAGTTAATATGTTTCAGTCCTGGTGTCCAGTGGATGACTGCATTTGAACAAAGGGTTTGTAGAGGGCCACTGCTGTGGTGTTGCTCTGACAAAGCAGAATGTAGTGTGAGCAGGAGAGGAGCCTGCGTGTGTTGGGGGGGGAGGGGGGTTGGGCAGCAAGTCCAGAGAACACTGGAGCCTAAGCTTAAAGGAGAAGTTGGAATTTGCAGGGCAGGCAGGCTCAGGAAGTGCATTCCAGGCAGAGGGAAGAGCGTGGGTAATGATGTGGGGTCAGCAGACTGTCTCCTAAGAACTCCCTGTAGCTAGACATCACAGAGCAGAGCGTGTTCTGGGGCAAGTAGAAAAGGAGTTCAAGCACTCACTCACTCTTCCGAGGGGTTTCGAGAACTCTAAACCAAGTGCTCAAGATAGGCATTTACTCGGCAGGCTGGTCAGTTTTGTTGGGTTATTTCTTCTCACTGAGATTATTTACATACAGTGAACTGCACAGATCTTAGGTGTGCAGATGGGTGAGTTTTGATAAATGCGTAAGCCTGTGTAACCCGTACTGTATGTGTAGTACATTTATGGCGCTACACGCAGCTTCCAGGTTATGTTCATAATCCATTTATAAAATTGTGTAAAACGTCCCTCAGGAATTCTCCTTAGTGCTACGTTAAGTCTCTGCAACAGCCTAAATGTATGTCATACTCAGTGTGCTTCTCTGCCAAGCTCAGAGGAAGCACAGTCCCAGAGTTTGCTTACCACCTCCTTGATTCCTCCTGTGTAGCTTTTATAATTTTCTTTAATTACCTGTTTTACCTCCCTTGTTCAATTACTGCCCATTTACTTAGAGCTTCTGCTGTGATGGTGTACCTCATTGTCATTGAACTCTTTAGTTGTGTTTTTGTGTGTGTATGAATGTAGTTGATTTTTAGGAATTTATCTTGTATTTTCTAATTTATCACATGAAGTCTTTGATTACCTTAGGTTTTCTGAATACACAGTTGAGTTGCTTTTTAAAAAAATTTGTTATATATCTTATCTTTCTTTCTTGAAGCATCTATTGTCAACATTTATTTATTTATGTGTTTATGTATTTTTGGCCTTACCTGCTTTTCCTGTTTTTATCTTTAAAGGTATTATCTATAATAGTTCTCCATTAGGTATAATCTTGCCCCTACATTTTAAATATATTATGTTTTTTCAAAAAAGAAAACTTCTGGGGCTGGCCAGTTAGCTCACTTGGTTAGAGCATGGTGTTATAATACCAAGGTCAAGGGTTCAGATCCCCGTACTGGCCAGCTGCCAAAAAGAAAGAAAGAAAGAAGCCCTCTAAAAGATTTAACATGATGAATTATGTGGAACATTTTTCTTGGGTTTATGCTAGTCCCACATTCCATAGATAAATTCCTATTTAATTATAATAATTCTTCTAAGGTCATGGTATGTTTTGTTGTATTTCATTTGGAACTTACTATTTATTGATGTTCATATGTGAGATTTTATTGTCCTTGTCGGTTTCAAGATCAAAACCACGCTGGTTTCGTAAGAAGAGCTGTGCAAGCCCCACCTGGCTTTGACTTAGGTGTCTGCCATCTAAGCAGCCGCCTCTGGCTGCCTCATCAGCACGCTGAAGTCAGCATGCCCAAACGGAATTTACAGTGCTCCTCCCAAACTTGACTCTCCTTTCACATTTTCTAGGTCATTTCCCTGACCCCCCCTCCCCAAGGTAGAAACTGAGTGTTGTCCTTCCTGTCACCTTCCTTCACACACACTCAGTCACCAATTCCTGTTGGTTCTGATCCTTAAGTATCTTGTGACTCTCCCCTCTGCTGTCTCTCTTCTTACTGTCCGAGTCCAGCCCACATCTCCCCTGGACCACCACACCGGCCTTCTCGCTGGCCCCCCACCTCCAGCTCTTCTCAGCTGTGCCTTCCACAGTTATTCACTGAACACTTCTTACCTACCAGCACTGTGCTGGGCCCCGAAGCTACAGGAGTGAGTAAGACAAATGCAGTTCCCACCCTCTGGAGCTTACGTTGTAGTGAGGGGGAGAAGGAAAAGGCTGAAAAACAAGTGGTCAGTTAAGGCTACTGTGAAGAAAACAGTGGGCAAAGAGGGAGAGGGCATAGTCTGAAAAAGAATCTCTAAGAAGATTTAACCAAGTAGAAAGAATGAGGAAAGAGAGGGAGCATATTCCAGCCTGAGGGGTGCAGCTGAGAACTTGGCCCCTGTGGCGAGAGATGGAGGCAGCAGGGGCCCCACCGGGGAGGCTGGCATCAGAGCTTGGTTTTTCTTCTCAGCACAGTAGGAGACCATCAAAAGTCTTTAGGCAACATACACACACACACACACACACACACACACACACACACACTCTCTCTCTCTCTCTCTCACACACACACAAAAAAACAAACAACAACAAAAACAAAAACAAAAAAAACGGGGCGGGGGAGAGGAAGATATAACAACCACAATTATTATTTTTTTTTTTTGAAGTTCTTACAACAAGCAAATGGAGGGGACACACTTGGGTGGGAGGGGGGAGAGGGAGGAGAGAGGGAGGTTTCGGTGATGGGACATAATAATCAACTACATTGTATATTGACAAAATAAAAATAATTTTTTAAAAAAAAAGTCTTTAGGCAAGACAGTGATAGCCACTTCGTGTGTTAAGAATGTTACATCTGTTTCAGTGTGGATGATGTCCTGAGAGGC